GCTTTGGGGGGCTCAGGGCGTTTCGGGGTATCCGGGGTTTGAGGGTTTTGGGGCTCCGGGGGGTTCGGGGGCTCCGAGGGTTTGGGGGTCCCTGTCCTCCCGGCCCCGGGGCCGCGGGGGTCCGCATGCCGGGGGTCTCGCCGGGGGTCTCGGGGACGCCTCTGGGGGCCGGGGTCGGAGATTCCGGAAGGGGCCGCCGAGGTCAGGGGGTCAGCCGGGGACTTTCAGTGGTGGGGGCGCTGATCTTCCGGCCGCCCCCCCCCCCCGCGGAGAGGCCGGGCCTGCGGGACGGGGCGGGACGGGGCGGGGCGGAGGGGGCGGGGGCGGGGCGGAGGGGGCGGGGGCGGGGCGGAGGGGGCGGGGCGGAGGGGGCGGGGGCGGGGCGGAGGGGGCGGGGCGGAGGGGGCGGGACGGGGCGGGGCGGAGGGGGCGGGGGCGGGGCGGAGGGGGCGGGGGCGGAGGGCGCGTGGGCGGGGCGGAGGGGCGGGGCGGAGGGGGCGGGGCGGAGGGCGCGTGGGCGGGGCGGAGGGGCGGGGCGGAGGGGGCGGGGCGGAGGGCGCGTGGGCGGGGCGGAGGGGCGGGGCGGAGGGGGCGGGGCGGGGCGGAGGGGGCGGGGGCGGGGCGGAGCGCGCGGGGGCGGGGCGGAGGGCGCGGGGGCGGGGCGGACCCAGAGAGCCGCCCTTTGGCCTGGCGGAACGGGACCAGGCGGGACTATCCGGGACGACCCGGAGGACTGGGCCGGCCCCTGGGCTGGCTCACAGGCTCCGCCAGTCGTCTGCCCCGGGAACCTCAGCGGAGGAGTCACAGCCCGCAACGCCGGGCCGGGGGCCTGAGGACAGGGGGTGGGGGCTCGGGGTGACCTGGGGATGGAGCCTGGTGATGGGGGGCCTGGGGGGCTGGTAGATCATCCTCCTCTCCGCAGCCCTCCTCTCTGCGGCCTCGCCTGGTGCAGGGACTGAACTTACTAGGCAATGGAGGAGGTAGAGGTGGGAGGGAGGGAGGTGGGGGAGGTAGAGGTGGGAGGGAGGGAAGAGGGGGAGGGGGACGTGGGAGGGAGGAGGGGAGGAGGAGGGAGGGAGCTGGGGGAAGTGGAGGTGGGAAGGAGGAGGAGGGGGAGAGGGAGGTGGGAGGGAGGGAGCTGTGGGAGGGAGGAGGAGGGGGTAGGAGCGGGGCATGGTCAGCTGGCAGCCCAACTGCCCGGCTGCCACCTGCCACCTGCTCCATCCCTGCGTGTCCCCACCCTGCCTGGGGTCCATGGGGTGTGTCAGCTCTGCTAATGACTCCAGATGATCTGGGACCGCTGCTTGCCTTTGAAGTTGGCCTTTTGTGACACAAAGCATCTCACACACACACACACACACACACACACACACACACACACTGCATGTGACAGCAAATCCAACGCACATTTTCCCTTGCTGGAAGGAGAGGAGCCAGGGAGGAAAGGGCTCCAGCCATACCTGTGTTTCAAGTTTTCTTTGAGCTGGGGCCTGGGAGCTGTCCTTCAGCATCTTCACTCAAGGATGGCACTCTACCCCTTGCCCCACTCCTCCTCTTCTGGCTTTTTGTTGTGAATAGGAGATGCAAGTCTTACAGACTTCCCTGCCCAGGCTGGCTTCAGACTCCCAAGTAGCTAGCAACACAGGTGTGAGCTAGGGTGTGTGTGTGTGTGTGTGTGTGTGTGTGTGTGTGTGTGTGAGAAAGAGAGAGAGAGAGAGATTCTCCAATCTAAGAATCTAATTCTCTAGTGTAGGGCTCTAGATTGTAGATGTTTCCAGAAATTCTCGTCTCTCTCTGATTGTCATAACTTTCAGTTCTAAGCATGCTTTGTCTCTTTGGGCTCTGGCCATGGAGTTGGGCTTAAAAACGTATGGCTGGCCGGCTTTGGATCGGGCCAGCTTTCCCGGTGGTCTCTCCGGGTAGGTAGGGCTGTCTGGAGATCAGGGAAAGCTCGGTGGGAGGAGTCCTTTACAAGCACAAGTAGCCAGAGGTAGACACGAGGGTGCGGGGCAGCGTCAGCCTCTTGGAACTCAAAAAAAAAAACTCTCTTTGTTGTTGTTGGTGGTGGTTGTAGGGCTTGAACTCTGGGCCTGGGCGCTGTCCCTCAGCTCTTCAGTTCAAGGCTATTGCTTTACCGCTTGAGCCACAGCGCCACTTCCAGTTTTCTGGTGGTTTATTGGAGATCAGAGTTTCATGGACGTTCCTGCCTGGGCTGGCTTTGAACCATGATCCTCAGATCTCAGCCTCCTGAGTAGCTAGGATGACAGGCGATGACCAATGCCCAGCTACTGAACTCTTTTCTTCCTACCCAGGGGCTCTCACTGCTGCAGATGGAAACCATAGAGGAACATAGCATCTGTCAGTCCCCCGCCCCTCTTCAGCCGTAGGCCCTGGGACCATGTTCCCTGGCTGGCCAGCAGAAAGGTGCAGGTACCGTCTGCCAAATTCATGATAGTAATAATGGCCAACAGCATCAGTGCTCTGTTAGTTATAATACCTCACGTTTGTCTCCGACTTACCCCTGAATCCCTTGTGGAGGTAGAAGTGCGGCCATAATGAGCTTGTCATTGTCTCTCCCCACCATGGCTTTCAGGAGCATTAATTCCTGCTCCATTTGGACTCTGCTAATTATCTCCATCGGCAGCTCAGCCTGCATCTCTCCAAAAGCCTCTGCTCCACTGCCCCAACCCTGAATTTTAATGACACCCCATTCTCCTAATAATCTACAAGCCATGATAGAGCCTGTTATTAATGGACTGCATCCATGGGCCCTAGAAGAGGACAGAATAGGCCTGCTCTCTCCAAGACTCCCTCAGGAGGAGCTCTGGTGGGCTGTCAGGGGTCTGGTCATTGACCTGGGGGCTGTCCGGTGACCGGCAGAGGGTGTGTACTTTCTAGGAAGAAGGAGGATGGCTGGGAAGCTAGTCAAGCTCGAGACAGGGTTCTGCCCACGGTTAGCATATCCGCAGAAGAACAGGAAGCCTGCACCTTTTTGTCTCTACAGCCAAGAACCCTCCCCCACATTCTCCACCTAGCCTTTCACTACAACTCCGGTCTACCCTCAGTTCCTTGAGATACCCAATTCTAGACTCTGGCCTTTGGCCTCAGGAAGTCCCTGATTCTTTATTTTTGTAAAAAATCATCTTTAGGAGTTGTATAAAGGGTTTCAATTTCAACACATCATCTTATGAGTACAGCATGTCTTGATCCAGGTCAGTCCAGGAGTCTGGATTCCAGTCCTAGCTCTTCTGTATTACAAATAGCCCCCTTGAGCAAGTGACTTAGTTGATCCTTTGAGGAGTGAATACCAATTTTTTCCAGAGGCGGTAAGGATTCAATGAGCTAATACAAAGAGCACTGTGCTTACTGCATAGAAAGAAGGCAGCAAATTGTATCATTGGAATTCGCAAGGGTGGCTCTCTCCTCCTTGTACCAAATGCCACTCCTTCCTGGCTATGGGATCTCTGTGTCATCTGCTCCCGGGTCCTTGGCTGAGCTTTGTCTAGTTCTCTGTCTGGTCTGAGTAAGACCTCAGTTCAGGCAGTCCCTGCTCTCCTGGAGTGAGCACTTGAATCTCTGAGAGTCCGTCAGTGACCCCAGACCCAGCAACCAGCTTCTCCGTGTTGGTATAGTCCAGGAAAATGTTCCTTCCTGTTTTACTTTATTCTACTCCCCAGCTCATAGAGAGAGAGAGAGAGAGAGAGAGAGAGAGAGAGTGTGTGTGTGTGTGTGTGTGTGTGTGTGTGTGTGTGTGTTGGTCCCAGAGCTTGAACTCAAGGCCTCACATTCTCCCTTAGCTTTATGGTTCATGGCTGGTACTCTGCCACTTTAGCCACAGCTCCACTTCCAGCTTTTTGATGGTTAATTTCCTTTCTGGGCTGGATTTGAACCTTGATCCTCAGACCTCAGCTTCTTGACAGGTGTGAGCTGCCAGGGCCAGACTGGCTTCTCTCTTCAGTTACAGTCTGTTCCTGAGAGAACCTGTAATGGTTACAAATGGATGTTCGTGAGCTTGAACCCATTAGAAAAATGGGGACACAGCGATCACTGGTGTACCCTGAAACTGCGGCTGGAGCGGTGGGCCTTTCAGGCTGGAGAAAGCATCTGCAGGGAGCTGGGACCTGGGTGGCTGCTGAATGCCCTAGTGTTTTCCAAAAGAGGAAGGGGTCCTGGGCCCCACTCGGCTGGGCAGTCTCTTCACAGTGATTAGCAGGTGGTAACCAGGTGTTGTTTGGGGAGAAGAGAGGGCCGGGGGCGGTCACATGCCCTGCTCTCTGGTCTGGTTCTGTCACAGAGACCTAGTTTGGGGGCCGTTTTGCTCACAGTAAATGATCATCCTCTACCAGAAAGGAAAAACAAAGCATCTAGCAGATTCCATCGTGGGAGCATTCAGCGTGCTGTGCTCAGCCTTGGCTTATGAGCTACTTCCAATAAGCCAGAGATCAGGGTGATTAGAACCCCAGCTGAGCCAAGGAGGAGTGGGGGGGGGGCGGGTTCACGGCTCACTGCAGGCCCCACGACATGATTGGGCAGCCCTGTCCTTTTTGTTTCTCCACATCTGGTGACCTCCAGATTCCCCTGCCCCCCAAAAAACCGCCCGGCCCTGGGCCATGAGAGTGCACAGTCTGCAGCCCCGTTCTCCGCCAGGGGTGGCGCCTGCCGCTTCCCACTCGAGTCCCGTAGGCCCCGGTGCCTCTGTTGCCTGCCGGTGTCTGGTGTCTCATGACCAGTATTGAGTATTGAGCTGCTGCTACTGCTTCTCTGCCCCCCCCCCCCCATGTCCACTGGACTGTGATAATGCCAGCAATGCCTGTCTCTTTGTGAAGGGAAGCCACTGAAGCTGTGGCCTCTCAACCCTTTTCTCTTGGTATGTTGACTTGTCCAGGAGTGTCTTCTAGTGATGGAAGGCTGACGCATACACAGAGGATGAAGGCTGGCTGAGTTCAAGGCCACACACAAGTGGGTTTAGAGAGGCCAGGTCCTCTACAATGGCCTCCACAATGGCCTCCTCCCCAGGTCTGATCCGCTCCAGCCTGATCCACACTGATCCACACCGGCCCTCCCTCTTAGCGCCAGGACTGACTTCCCCATCTCCCTGCCTGCCAGATGCCAAAGGCCGGTGAGGAAGATCCTCCTGCCTGAGCCTCCTGGCCTTATGTAACCAGATTTTGAGCTGGGGACTGGTTCCTAATAATCCCCACCCCTACCCTCCACCCTCCAGGCTCAGCTCCATGGAGCACCGGGAGAAGCCACTAAGAAAGACTCCGTCTGGGCCACCCTGCCCCCACCCCTCTTTTCATTTATGAATTCAGGGTTTTTTTCAGGCTGCACATTTAAATGCACTCTATGCTCTCTGGATGCTTCCTCGTCCCCCCTCATTAAAATTCTAATTATTACCAGAGCAAGTAAGATGTCTGATCAAAGGAAAGCAAGTAGGAATACCTTTTGTTTAAGGTGACTGGGAGTGCATCCCACACAGCTGTGGCCAGAGGCGGACTGGGAGGGCCTCAGACAAAGACACCACCCTGGGCACCCAGGGAGACAGAGCCAGAGCTGCAGACCCTAGTGTGTGACACAAAAACAACAGAGTTGCTGTCTCTAATCCCTGCTTATGGGACCCCAAGCCTCCCCCAGGGTGATGACAGAGGCAGATTCGTGGCCAGGCTGCAGTCTGGTTTTGATCCCAACTCTCTGTGTGACCTGGGCAGTCTATTTAACCCCTGCGTGTGTTGTGCCCCAAGTCCTGCGTATTTTTGGGAGAAATGATGGGTATGATTGTATCACAAGCACTTTTGAAGCTAAGGTGCTGGTGGCTCACACCTGTAATCCTAGCTACTCAGGAGGCTGAGATCTGAGGATCACAGTTTGAATTCAGCCTGGGCAGACAAACCTGAGAAACTCTTCTCTCCAGTGAACCAGCAAACAGCCAGAAATGGGGCTGTGGCTCAAATAGTAGAGCACCAGTCTTGAGCGAAAAAACTGAGATTGGAAGGCCCTAGCTTCAAGCACCAGTCCCGCACAAAAACCCTAAATCCTGGCCACATTAATGTTGCAAAAATTGACTAAATCCAAACAATATCTACTTACTAAGGTTTTTTTTTGGTTGGTCATGGGGCCTGAACTCTAGGCCTGGGTGCTGTCCCTGCGCTTTTCAGCTCAAGGCTCTACCACTTGAGCCACAGCGCCACTTCCAGTTTTCTGGTGGTTTATTGGAGATAAGAGTCTCATGGACATGGGGCTGGGAAGGTGGCTCAGTGGTAGAGCGCTTGCCTTGCATGCCTGAGGCCCTGGGTTCGATTCCTCAGCACCACATAAGCAAAAAGAAAAAAGCCAGAAGTGGCGCTGTGGCTCAAGTGGTAGAGCGCTAGCCTTGAGCTGAAGAGCTGAGGGACAGCACCCAGGCCCAGAGTTCAGGCCCCATGACTGGACCAAAAAAAAAAAAAAGAGTCTCATGGACTTTCCTGCCCGGGCTGGCTTTGAATCTTGCTCCTCAGATCTCAGGTTCCTGAGTAGCTGGGATGACAGGCATGAGCCTCTGGCGCCCAGCTTTACAATTTTGATTTCCTAAGTGATCAATCTGAAAGTAATTTAGTTTTTCTCTTGAGCCCTTGAGGACCTGTGTGCCACACAGGAGACTTCAGCTTAGATGTGAGCTTAGACTCGGGGTCCCAGGTTCCTGAGTCTGAGCCCTGAAGGTCTAACCCCGCTCTGCTCTGGGAATGTTGCTGTGTGTGCAGGATGGGCAGGGGTGGGTGGCTGTGACCCCTGCACACCCTCCTCTGAGACTTGATTGTGCGGGCACTTCCTCCCCACTTACATCCCAGGATTTGCAAGGCACCAGTAGCTAATCCAAGCAGCAAGTTTGCAGGTCTGCAGTCCGGGCCTGGCACACGGGCTGGGCCGGGTACACGGGCCAGGCTGGGCACACAGGGCTGGTGTGGATGCACCCTTGCCTGCTCCCACCAGGCAGGGCCTGGGTCTAGGGGTGCCAGTGGCCTCCTTCAGAGGAACTGGAAGCTGGGGGTGGTGATGTTTGTGAACTCGGTGTGTGCCAGTCCTGAGGCTTGAACTCAGCACCTGGGCACTGTCCCTTAGCTTTTTCACCCAAGGCTGGTGCTCTGCCACTTGAGCCACAGCTCCACTTTTGGCTTTTTGGTGGTTCATTGGAGATAAGAATCTCATAGGCTTTCCTGCTCAGGCTGGCTTTGAACCATGAGCCTCAGATTTCAGCCTCCTGCATAGTTAGGGTTATAGGGGTGAGCCTCCTGTGCAAGACTCAATGGAAGACCTTTACAGTTTCTCAGACACTAACCAGCTCCTCTGCTGCAACCCTGTTGGTCCACAGCCTGAGGTTCACCCCAGGCTCTGCTCTCTCTCAAAGGGGGGGTGTCCCTCACCGTCCTCTGAGGGGCTTGCTCCTCCGGTCGGTAGGGCTGAGCACCGGGCAGCAAATCATAGCACTCCCCATAGCAGCTTTCCTTCTGTAGAGCTGACCTCCAGACACAGAACAACCAGGAGCGGCTGTTTAGCTGGGGCCTACTCCATGTAGCAGGGCCAGGTTCAACTGAACACACGCATTTGTAGAGTCCCATGTGGAAGGAATGCTGACAGCACCAAGGAGCCCGTGCCTGCCCTCAGCCGGCGCCTCACGCCTCATCCTGGCTGTTCAGGAGACTGAGGTCTGACGATCACAGCACAAAGCCAGCAGGGCCTGAACGTCTGTAAGACTCTTACCGCCAATGAACCACCAAAACCTGGAAGTGGAGCTGTGGCTCAAGCGGTAGAGCACCAGCCTTGAGCAAAAAAGCTAAGGCACAGTGGCCCTGGTCCTCAATCCAGCTCTAGTACCAGCCCACAGGAAGAGAGAAAGAGAGAAAGGGAAAGAAAGAAAGGAAAGAGAGGGGGAGAGGAGGGAAGGAGGAAGGGAGGAAGGAAGGCTCGGCTGGTGGCAGGGCGGTCGCTGTGCTATGCAGAAGCATGGTTGTCCTGCTAGAGCAGCAGCTCTACTAGGACGTGATCAGCATCCCCAGTCTGCATCTGCCCCAACTGCCCCTGCATTGCCTGCCCCAAGCTAGGGGTGTGGGGCTGTCCTGATGCTCCTCCAGCAGGAGGGGCAGGAGGCAGGGGGTGCAGGGGTGGGGGAACCGGGAGAGCACACGTGGACGGTGCCAGTCCACCCTGGGCCCCTCTCCCCCACTGGCCCCTGGCTCCTGACCATTCTCTTCTCTTCTTCTGTCTCTGTCCCTCTACGCCCCTTTCCAGCCCTCCCACCTCTGTGTCCCATCCTCCCTAAGTTCCTGGGCAGGCACCTCTGTCAGCCTCGTCGCCGTGGTGGTGATTGTGCGTGTCGTGGCCCCGGTGGTGGTTTTCCTTGCTCTTGTGGGAGCCACGCCCAGCGCCCTGGAGGACAGAAGAGGCCTCCAGCCCGGCCCCCTGCTCGCCCCTCAGGCCCACAAGCCCCCACCCCAGAGGCAGCATGGCGGACAAGCTGAAGGAGCCCAGCACCCTGGGCTTCCTGGAGTCGGCCGTGAAGATCAGTCACACGTCCCCCGACATCCCGGCCGAGGTGCAGATGTCCGTCAGGGAGCGCAGCACTGTTGCCCGGCAAGCAAGGCTGCAGCGCCAGACCACAGAGCCCGCCTCCTCCATCAGGTGAGGTGACCCTAGCCCAGCCCACGTGGCCTCCCGCCACCTCCCTACTCCCGGCCTCCTCCGTGGGACCAGGGGTGGGAATACAGGGCTCCACCTCAGAGAGCCCCATGTGGCGCCCAGAGGGCCTTTTCCAGGCCGGGCCTGCATTCGGCCAGGGGCCACGAGGGTTTTACATCATCATCCAAAGGTCACAGAAAATGATGGGTACACCTACAGAACTCACCATGTGGCCACAGGCTGCTTGCTCCCTGCCCGCGCCTCACTTTTCCCAGCTGTGGGCTGGGGAGAATGGTTCCTATTTGCTCATAGCAGGGAACCATGAAAGAATCATAGGAACAAGAGAGCTAACGCATATAGTACATTGCTTATCACACACCTGCCTCTGTCCTATGCTTTTTTTTTTTTTTTTTGCCAGTCCTGGGGCTTGAATTCAGGGCCTGGGTGCTGTCCCTGAGCTTCTTTTGCTCAAGGCTAGCACTTTACCTTGAGCTACAGCACCACTTCTGGCTTTTTCTGTGTATGTGATACTGAGGAATTGAATCCAGGGCCTCATGCATGCTAGGCAAGCACTCTACCGCTGAGCCACCTTCTCAGCCCTGTCCAAAGCTTTATTTATTTATTTATTTTGTTGGTTGTGGGGCTTGAACTCTGGGGCTGGGCGCTGTCCCTCAGCTCTTCAGCGCAAGGCGAGCACTCTACTACTTGAGCTACAGTGCCACTTCCAGTTTTCTAGTGGTTTATCGGAGATCAGAGTTTCATGGACGTTCCTGCCTGGGCTGGCTTTGAACCGTGATCCTCAGATCTCAGCCTTCTGAGTAGCTAGGATTACAGGCGTGAGCCACCGGCACCCGGCTCTAAGCATTTCTATGAGGGAATCTATTTTACCCTTACAATTCTATACAATTATGACTTTATCTGTATTTTTTATTGCCCAAATTTTGGCAGGGCCAAAATTAACCTCTATAGTCAATCTCCTGAGTAGCTGGGATTACAAGTGTGAGCTACTACACTTGGCCTCAGCCTTGGCTTTTGACCACTCACTCCACTGCCTGCTGTATGACAGATACTCTATGGAGGGTGGTGGTGATGACAGTGGTGGTGATGGTGATTGATGATAGTGGTGGTGATGGTAGAGATGGTGATGATGGTGGTGATGGTGGTGATGGTGGTGATGGTGGTGATGGTGGTAGAGATGGTGATGGTGATGATGGAGATGGTGGTGGTGGTGATGGTAGTGGTGGTGATGGTGGTGATGGTGATTGATGATGGTGGTGATGGTGGTGACAGTGATGGTAGAGGTGGTGGTGGTGATGGTAGATGGTGGTGGTGATGGTAGTGGTGGTGGTGGTGGAGGACCACACAGAGGGGAACACAAAATGGTGTTTCTGCCCGGGGATGCCTGCTTCACTGGTGGAAGTGGAGTCACACCCATCAGGAAAGAGCGTAGAGAGCAGATGACAGCTGGCCTGGGCTGAGCCTGTGTACCACGGCCTGCCCAGCGACTCCACACCATCAGGACACGCAGTGTGTGACACTCATGGTGGCCTTGTGTCCACAGTGCAGGGAAGGGAAGGGAAGGGTGGGAGGGGCCCTAGGCCCCACCCCTGGCCCCCGGCCCAAGCTGGCCCCTCCTTCCCTGACCACCTTCCTCCTCTCCCTCCCCCCCTCCGCAGGCACACCTCCTTCAAGCGCCACCTGCCCAGGCAGATGCACGTCTCCAGCGTGGACTACGGCAATGAGCTGCCGCCCGCAGCTGAGCAGGCCACCAGCATAGGCCGCATCAAGCCTGAGCTCTACAAGCAGAAGTCGGTGGATGGGGAGGACGCCAAGCCCGGGGCTACCAAGAGCTGCGGGAAGATCCACTTCAGCCTCCGTTATGACTACGAGGGCGAGGCCCTGGTCGTGCGCATCCTGGAGGCCCTCGACCTCCCTGCCAAGGACTTCTGCGGGAGCTCCGACCCCTATGTAAAGATCTACCTCCTGCCCGACCGCAAGTGCAAGCTGCAGACGCGGGTGCACCGCAAGACCCTGAACCCCACCTTTGATGAGAGCTTCCACTTCCCCGTGCCCTACGAGGCACTGGCCGACCGCAAGCTACACCTCAGCGTCTTCGACTTCGACCGCTTTTCCCGCCACGACATGATTGGGGAGGTCATTCTGGACAACCTCTTCGAGGCCTCGGACCTGGCCCGCGAGACCTCCATCTGGAAGGACATCCAGTACGCCACCAGTGTGAGTATGGCGCGTCCCCGGCTGGCTGCGTGTGCACCTGGGTCGGGGTGATGGTCCCCAGTGCCCTGTCCCCTGGAGATGTGGGGCCTCCTGAGCCCCCGGGAGCTGCCCCACAGACCGGTTTGCTCCAGGGACTTGCGCAGCCCAGCCCAGTTCACTATGGGAACCTGCTTCCCGCTCTGGCGAGCAGCGGAGCGGGTGGGAGCGGGTGGGGAGGGAGGTTTTATCATGGCTAGAATCGCAGGTGCTGCTGGGCCTCAGGTTGGGCCTTGGTGGAGTTGTGTGACATGACCTTTGCGTAAGGACGAGGCCAGACTCCTAGACCCAGCCAGGATCCAGTGGGGGCCGCGTGTGCAGCGGCATTACTCAGCGAGAGCAGGTGAGATGGGTCCGTGTGCACCAGCGGCACAGGCCTGGGATCCTGAGCTGCGGACGGCTGAGGCTCATTTCTCGTTCATGTCTGCGTGTGCTTTACAGCTCGGCTGGGGTCCCAGCTGGGTCCACAGAGGGTCCTCAGCACAAGGGTGCCCCCGGCTAAACATCAGGAGCAGGGAATGGAAGTCCCACAGAGAAGTGACACACTCACTCCCTCACACTCGGCCAGCCCTTAATGTGGAGGAGGCAGGAGGAAGCTGTGCCACACTCACTGCCAGCTACTTAGCACTCAGCACTAGTGATTACACAGACTTACCCTTGTCCTGGGTGCTGTCGGTCCATTGCATTCTGGGAGGTGGGGGAGGCTGACTCGAAGGAGAGCGGAGGGGGTGGGGGTCTGGGCTGTTCATGGACAGAATTAACCAGGGATGCCCCTGAAGTTCATGTTGGCTTTGTGCATGAGCGTGTTTGTGTATGTGCATGTGCGTGTGTGCGTGCGTGTGCCAGTGCTGAGTTTTGAACTCAGTCGGGGCCTTGTGTTCTTGCTTAGCTTTCTTGCTCACAGATTACTCTGCCAAGGCTGGTTGAGGGCTGGGACCCTCAGATCGCAGCCTCCTGAGTAGCTGGGATTACAGGTGTGAGCTGCCAATGCCCATTTCAAGTTGGCTTTTTAGAGAAGGGAGGGCAGGTTTGGCAGAGACCTAGCAAGGCCGGGCCCAGGGTCCTGATGTGTGCACAGAGCCCTCTGGCCCCCCGGGCGCGGGCTGGCTGAGTACCCTGCGTCCTTCCTGAGATTCTGTGGTTTCCAGGGGTCTTCACGCCATGTGGTAGAGTGTCTCCCCAGTCAGTTGCTGACGTTGGGGGTGGTCCATTCTGGCTGTGGCCCTGGCCTCGGGGCCATCCATGCTCAGTGTTTTCTGTGTTGCATTTGTAAGGGAAGAGGCTGGGGAATCTGCTCTGATGGGCAAAGATAGAGAACTTGATTTGTGCAGCAAGAGAAAGTTCGGTGAGCGCTGGGGGCATGGTGGGCGGGGGGAGCATGGTGGGCTCCCGGGGGGCATGGTGGGCTGGGGGCAGGGAGTGGGAGGGTCTTGTGATGGCCATGCCCTATGTCCTCATCTTTGTTTTCTTGAAATGACATGACCTAGAACAGCAGCCGGAGTGGCTGGCGGCCTGGCCTGCCGGCAGATGGGGCGGGCAGACGGGGCGGGCAGGTGGGCGGGCAGACAAGGTTGAGCCTGTGCGTTCCAGCCGCGGCCCGGGAGTCCTGTGCCGCAGATCACCTGAAGTTCATGTCTGTGCAGTCGTGGGGAAGGGAGCTGCTTGGCTCTGGGTGAAGCCACAGCCTGGGCGACGGGGCTGTGCGTGCGGGGTCTGCGCTGCTCAGTAGCCTCGCGCCCTCCAGCCCCGCCCCCTGCCCAGTGCCCTTTACCCTGTGCAGGAGCACAGCCTCGCCCTTGGGCAGGCCGTCTGTGCCCGAGCCACCCCCCCTCCCGAGCTGTGACCACAGTGGCCGTCCCCAGCCCGGCCTCAGAGTCCTGCTCCATCTCCTCAGTATGCATGGACACGGGCCGCTGACCCTCGGGGCCCTGCCCCAACCCTCACAGAGGCAACTGCCATGTGTGCAGCTGTGGGCCCAGCAGGCCATGCAGGGCAAGGAGGATGGGCGGGGAGACCCGGGTTCCCATGGGAGCTGGGGGGGTGCGGGGGGGGGAGCTGGGGGGGTGCGGGGGGGGGGGGAGGGAGGAACACACCCCGGCAGAGCCTGGTCTTGCTTGTCCTGATTCCTGTGCCCAGCCCAACCTGTCCACCTCTCGGTGCCTCCTGAAGGCCTTCTCCATGAGGCCTCCCAGCACCTCAGCCTCCAGCATCTCCCTAGGGAAGGAGCGGGCACAGCTGTGTCCCACACCCACTCTCCTGGGTCCCCTTCCCACAGAGCCAAAGAGCCTGGAGGCAGCTGATTTAATGCCATTTTAGATCCGTACCACTGTGCAAGAAAAGATCTTCAGGCAGCCGGAGTTGGGTGGGGGTAACCTGGGAGGGCTTCCTGGAGGAGAAGCTCCAAGAAGTCAGTTGGCTTGGGGGGCAGAGGCCCAGCCTGTATGTTTGGCACGGCTCAAACACTTGGCTTCTTTTGGGTTGGCAGAAGCTGGCCAGCCAGACTGAATGCTTCAGACACCTGGACCAGAGCGGAGGCCAAGGAACTCCAGCTGAGCCAAAGTTCAGGCACCATGCCCCAGTGGCTTCTTCGACTTACTTGTTTTTGTGCTGGTACTGGGGCTTGAACTCAGGAAGTTGCAGTCTTACTGAGCTTTTGTGCTCAAGGCTGACTCTACCACTTGAGCCACAGCTCCACTTCTAGGTTTTGCTGGTTCAGTGGAGGTCAGAGTCTCATGGACTTCTACACCTGGGCTGACTTTGAGCTGCAATCCTCAGAGCTCAGCCTCCTGAGCAGCTGGGATGACAGGCGTGGGCCCCCTGCACCCAGCCTGTTGGCTTCTTGAGCATGATAGTTTGGACTCAGGCCTGGCCAGTGCAGCCTGGCAGGTCCACGCCCAGGGCCTAAGCCAGTTTGTGGAAGCGAAGGCTGAGTGCATCTGGCTGTCTCCCAGCCCCTGAGTACCGAGCTTGATGCCAGGGCCTGGGAAGCGTTGGGAGCCCAGCTCTTCTTTAATTGCAAATCTAAGCCACAGGGACTCAGGCTCCCAGTCTCCAATGAATACCCAGCACCACTGAGGGTCTGTCAGGCACAGGCTCCGGCCTCCCGCTGAGTCCAGAAACCTGCCTCCAGGAGAGAAAGGAGGGAGTTCATAGCATCCATTCCAGCCCTGGGCCAGGCCTCCCTGTTGGGCATGTCTGAGCCTCTGCTGGTCCTGGGCCCTTCCCAGAGGTGCCACCCTCTCCGGGTGACAAAGCCTCCCTGCCCTTCTTTCCCCCCGGAAGCATCACTATTTCTATATAAAGCCGTGGATACATGATTATAATGGAGCCGCCGCCAGCACCATGCTGACATCCGTGATCTGGTGGTGATTGCCACAGAGGCCTTGGGCCAGCGCGCTCTCTGGAGCTCAGCTCTTCTCACAGAGTGTCTCTGCTGTGGCGGGAGATGGAGGCTGGAACGAAGGCCATCAAGGGTGCGTGTGTGAGCCAGGGACTGGCCACGCCTGGAACCCTAACTGCTCAGGAGGCTGAGATCTGAGGAATGGGGTTCAAATCCAGCCCAGGCAGGAAAGTCCATGAGATTCTGATCTCCAAATGAACAAGCAAAATGCTTCTGGCTCAAATAGTAAAGCACTTGCCTTGAGCAAAAGTGCTTTGTCACAGTGCAGGGCCCTGAGTTTCAGCCCAGTAGAAAGAGAAAGAAAAAAAAGGGAGGGAGGAGGGCGGGAGGGAACAGGAAGAAAGGAAGGAGGGAGGGAAGGAAAGGAGAGAGGAAAGAAGGATGTTAGGAAGGAGGGAAGGAGAGAGGGAGGAAGGAAGGAAAGAAGGAAGGAGCCCTGGCCTTTTATGATTGTCCTCAAGCAAGCATGGAAATAACAGCTCAGCATTAGATGACTTAGCAGGGTGGTCCACAGAGAAACTGGGGTGTTTGGGTTTGAAACCAAGCCTTCAGTGGAGCCCTGGCCGGGACCCTGTACACCAGAGGGCGGCGCGGCCAGGTTGCTCCTCAGGCCGGGAAGTTGACTCCGATGCTGCTCCAGTGGCCGGAGTCCTAGGGCTGTGTTCTCCTTGGCAGTCTGCTTAGCTTCTCTCGTTTGGCTCAAAATCGGTTTCTCGTTTTTATTTTTGGAGGGGGCTGCGGGCAGCTTTGGGGCTGGCCCTTGGACGACTGTCAATGCCCCAGCATCTTCCCCGGGCTTTCACGCTCATTATTCTCATTTAATGTTGATGGAGTGCAGAGCCTTGGGCTGGGCCACGGCGCCCCCTGCCCCCCCCCCCCTCCCCGCCAGTGCCCAGGCTCACAGGAACTGCAGGCATCTTGAGGATCGGCCTGCGGTCAGCTGTGAGTCGTTGGGTCACCATGCACAGCTCCCAGAGGTCCCAGCCCCCAGTAGATATCCCCAAAGGGGCCGCTTGGGGCTTGGGGCTCAGCCCTCACCCCGAGGGGCAGGGGGCCATCCATCAGGAGCCCGTGTTTGCGTCTCCCACGAGCCCTCAGACAGAACACCAGGTGTGGAAGAGACAGGCGCTCCGTGGATGGGCATTGACTGGAGGTTTCGAGCAAGTGAAAATGGAACCTGACGAACACAATCGTGTGAACGGGAAAGGAGAGACAAAGCAGTGAGAGAGGAAGGGAGCAGGCAGGCTGGGGCTCCTGCAGTCCAAACAGGAGGGGAGATCCGCCATGGGCGGTGATGGTCCTGAAAGAGGAACAGAGCTTCAACGAGATGGCGGCACGTGGAGGACAGGCTGGTTTTGAAAGGACGTGGTGACTGTCGGAGGGCGAGCTGTCCTGAGAGACTGTGTGGTTTCAGACCTGGTCACTTGAACTCCCTAGGGAAGTCGGTTTCCATGGGGATGGGGACGGGGGGTCAGGCCCATGGGGGCCCCATGAAAAGCCAGTGAGTCCGGAGAGGACGCGGGACGGAGAGGACGCGGGGCCTACGGCCTTGCACCCCCACCCG